CTTCTGTGCTCCTGTCATATTCTAGCAATTCTAACAACACTGTGCGCCTGTCATTATTCTGATGCCATGTATGTGACTGCGGTGACACTTCGATTCCCCGACTTGCACCTGCATGTGCTGCTGGTGTTTATAGTCGATGATTTGGTCAAATGTTCTGGTGTTTAACCTACCCTATTGTGGTCATGTGTAGTTGTGATACTATATACAAATCTTGAATATGAAGTCATTGAAGAAAAAGGAAAAAAATTCCAAAGGCTTCTGCTCAGTAATTAACCAACCAGCCAACTAACTAACCAACCAAACAGTGTAGTTCAATGTAGAAAGGTTATACAAAGTAGTTTTGTTGTTAATATTTCTATCATCGCAGAACTAATACATTCAATCAATTAACAGCCATGTTTACCTCATATTATTCTATGATGCAAATGGATAGTAGTGACTATTACTAAGGTAACTAGTAGGTATTCACCATTACTAAGGACTCTGTACAGTCTGCTACCAGAGGAGGGCCACGGGACTAGGGGAGGGTAGGTTTGGCATCTTGAGTTACTGTACCAGATGACCCTAACCCTGGTGACACTTCTTCACAGAAGGACCCTTCTCTGGGGAAAGTACTAGGATTTTGAAGACCTGACAGTCATTGGTTTCGGAAAAGCCAGGCAGGTCATCTGGGCCATCCAGCGACTGGGGTCCTGGTGTGGGAATGCTGGACGGCAGGAGTGCTTGGCATCTAGCAGGGAGCTAGAGCACACCTGCAGGCAGAGTTACCCATGCAGGAAGCTGTTATCCCCTCCGCGGGCCTTGTGTGGGTCGCATCCTGTCTGGAGAGCGTCCCCGAGTGAGAGGGGCGGAGGGGTAGGGAAAGAAGCAGACCTGGACAGTCATCTTGCCCCTTGGAGAGGTTTCAGAGCAGGGGAGGGTGTTGCAGGGCGAAGGGAAGGGAAATATGTCTAGACCTACTCCCAAGATCCTGTCCCAGAGTGAACGCACTCCGACTGCTTGCTAGCTGCAAGGTTGCAAGCTTGAGCCCACCCAGAGGAGCCTCAGGAGAACACGCTGGACCTCTGCTCCTGGGAACAAGGCCCTGTGCCCCGGGAAGCCCGGCCCACCTCCTCCGGCCCACACAGA